TGCTGCGCTGAGTGCGCTGTACAGGCCGAGCCTTCAGACACACGGGGAAAAACCTGCTTAAAGAAAAAACATGCATTCTGCAGCGGGCAAGAGACAGACGGGTGCGCGCTGCCCCTCGCTAACCCAACGCCTTGTGAGGGCTGCAGTGGGAGTCGGTGCAGAGCCAGCCAGGATAAATCCCCATGGCCTGGGTGCACACTCAGGATCACGCTGGCGAGCGCTACAGACCAGGAGGCCTAGTCCAAAACCGCTCCATTTCGGTGCTGCGCTCAGGGACTCGCCTGCACAGCCTCCCTCCTGGTCACAGCCTGGCGTGGCAGAGGGGGAAACGCTGCCTTAAGCTGTTGATGGAAACTGCGAATCGATTCAGCTTTTAAAATGTGAATTGATTCAACATTGACAGCTCCAGACCGTGGTCAGTCAGGGATGCGTGCGCAGGACAGCCGCTATTTAACCCTGACAAACGCGGACCCATGAGTCTCATGACAGACATCCTTAAAGCAGCTAACAGCCCACCTCCCCACCACCAAGCTCATTTCATGTCCCAGGACACCCCCATGTGACAATAGCGTGCCAAAGTGGTTTTAAAGGTCTTGCAAATCTGTCAGCTGTTTTTCAGGCTGGGCTACACTCATGCACATGCTGAATGCACGTGTGCTTGAAGCTTGCTGCCATTTCTTTTTTATTTATTTTAATGGAAGAGTTAAAATATGGAGATGATTTTTGGTTACACTTCAAAGCATGGCTCTGCCCGGGGGACACTCACCTGGCAACACAGACACCCTCAAAGCAACCAAGTGCTTTTGAGCATGTTGCTCTGCTAATACGGTGTCTCCTTAGCACTGCTACCCCTGACCCTTGGTCCCTGCGCTGGTGAGGGCCAGCCGACCCCCTGCACAAACGTGTGGTTTATTGGTATTGCACCCACTCAGCGCCAGCATCACCCACAGCATCACGTCCTCTCAGGCTGCACCGTGGCCCCGCTGGCGCGGGCGGCTCAGCAGCCCCTTGCACGGCCGCCTGTGCAGGGACAGGAGAGGGGGCCCTGAGGGCTTTCCACCTTCTGCGTTGCATTTTAAGCACTGGCGCATCGTGAGTGCTTGCACACACACACACACACACAGACGCACACACGGCTCAACCCTGTTCCCATCCCGGCCCTTCAACCCCCCAGGGATGCTCTGCCAACGCCAACAGGCTGCTTTGGTGCAGAAACATCACCGCTGCTGTTCCCATAACCGCGACCGCTCCACACCTAGGCGGCTGCTAAATGCGCTTAGTGAGGAGGGAGGATGGCCAGGAGAAACAAAGGGGAAGGGAATCCTTTTTATTGGCTACTTTATGAATATTACAGTGCTAAAATATTCCATCCAGGCATTTAAAATGCAGAGGGGGCTGCCCTGACCTCCGCAGCATGAAACGCCGGAGCTGCCACACAAGGATCAGGATAAACCAAGTCCCTTAGCAGCTCCTGGTGCCACAGAGAGGCTCCCCCCTATCCTCCAGACATGCCCCATGCATGAGAATGAACCTCAAGAAGGTGGAAACGGCTGCTGGGGCAGCCCAGCGCTGCCCAGCACCCTGCCCGGCCAGACCCCACTGCTGCCCTCACGGTGCAGCTCTCAGTTTTCCAGTTTAAAAAACCAGCCCAGCTCCCAAACAACGGCCATCGTTCCGCATCCCTGCTCCTCCTTGGCTGCCTCCAAACTGCACGTGATGATGTGGACGATGATAAGCTGCAGGATGCAAAACCCAGACCCAGCTATGTTGGAGAAGCTTGTGCCCAGGATGAACAGAGCAGTGCAGGGTGCTGGTGTGTCCTGAGCACCATGGATGATGATGTAGGTCTGCCCCAAAACAGCACATCCTGGCAGCAAAGCAAGATACCCAATGGGAAGGAGTTTGGTGCAGAAATTTCAAGTTTATCTATTAAAACTGGTGAGTTGCTCTTTCTGCCTCACTCGCTTTCCACCATTGGAAGCGCAGGGCAGGACATGACCGGAGCTGCTTGTCCCGGAGCAGGGACGCGGTTCCCCGCAGGGGCCGCGGCCGGGGCCAGGCTGGTGTGTGGGCACACGCGCTGCAGAGCATGGGACGCTCTGCCAGCATTGCTAGGCTCTGACTACAACTGTTTATCTTGAAAGCTGAAGGGTAACATTCTCCAAAGTTTCCAGAGAGAAAATACAGACCCTTCCTTTCAGCTGGGAGCGGGGGAATGTGTAACCTCGACAAATTCCTCGGTTTTGTTTGGCTCGGGCACGCAGCGCCTGGGTAGCCTCGCAGGCCGGGGCGCCCTGGCTGTGATGTGAGTGCTGGGTGCTCTGGGATGCTCCGGGACAGCTCTCAGCTCGGCCTCCGCTGGGATGTTCCCCCTGCACAAGGAGCATCCGCCGTGCGGAGCTGTTGGCAGGACTAACCTGCTAGGGAGCTGCTCCGACTTTGCTCCAGCAGGAACCAAGGGCTCCTTCCCCCCCTGTCAGACCTGCTGCAGAGAAGCAGCCCTGCTTGGACCTTTCCCCTCGAGTCCTGCTGCAGGCGACCAGGCACCTGCCAGCCCGTGTGTGTCTCAGGTGCAAAAGGAATCACTGCGGGTTCCTGATCCGCAGAGTGGAGCCTCGCTGGCACAACGTGCTGAGGAGCAGCCAGCTCAAAGGCCAGGATTGTGGCTGCTGTCCCATATTCCCAACTCCTTGCTCCACAACAGTCAGAAATGCCATGAGCAGCAACACCGGTGATTCGCCTGGCAGGTTGGGCACGGCTGGCGCCCGCCTGCAGGGAAACCACAGAGTTCCTCTCGGCCGTCGCACGGGGTTTTGAGGAGAAATGAATCATCTCCGAGCAAACAAATAAAAAACAAAAACACAAACACCCAGTTTGTAAAACACAGGCAGGGGCAAGGATGTGGGCCCAAGCCCTGAGAAAACAAGCGCGCGTCAGGCTGCTCAAAGGTGCCTGCACTGTGCTGGAGCCGGTGGGCTCCGTGTGGGGGGCTCTGCAGATCCCTGGTGGGTGCCGGGTCCTGCTGACTGTCCTCGCTGCTTTGCGGTGACAGGAAGGGATGGATCAGGCACAGTCCTCAGAGAGGGTGTTATTTCCACCGCTCCCCACCCCCACCTCGGCAAAGCAGCCACTGTGTCATGGCAGAACATGAAATACGGCGCTCAGCGCAACACCGCGGTGCCAGGAAGACTCGTCCAGGCACCAGCCAGGACGCCTGCACATTTGCACTTCAAGAGATTTTGCTGTTTTGTTTTGCACAACAGCAAAGCTGAACAAATATCGCCCCAACACCTCCTGCACCAGCATCTCCCCTTCCTGGAGGGGCAAGGCTGGAGAGCTGATGGGCCACGGCCTCGCTTCCACCCACGGAAATCCTTCAGTCTCAGCTCATGCATGGGAAGGACGGGAGTCACAGGAGCCACCGGCCTGCCGGGAACTCAGCCTAACTGACCCCACGGTTCGTTTCCTGGCGCTGAAGTGGTCCCGTTTGTCCTAAATAAACGCACCTCCAAACTCCTCAGTGTCCAGCTGCCTCCAAATGACAGGAGAGGCCGATGAGACACCGCGCTGCCGAGACAGGTTTAGCAGCAGCGGCACCAGAGCAGGGCCCACCACCACGACGGACCGCGGATCAGGGGCTGTGAACACCTCAGTCCCAGGGTGGGACGGCCCTGAGCCCTCCCTTGTGTCGTTAATCCCAAACAAATGTGATACAACCCAAGGAAAAAAGCAACACCACGTTAAAATAAAAAAAAAGCAGTTTGGGTGAAATGATCAGCATTATGTGAGTTGAGACCAGACAAACGGGCTTAGCTTGAGAAGGACAAGTTGCCACCTGACATTCCTTCACACTAAATCCTGCAACTTTGTTAGGTTTCAGAACATTTTCATCCTGGAGCTCACCTCCTGCTTGTCTGTGTTTTCAGTAAAGGGTTAAAGGACCGGAAAGACTACACAAAACTCTTGGGCTTGGGCTGACTGAACTGATTCATTCAGCCCACAGTGTTGCCTCATCCCCTTCCAGTCTCCCTTCAGGTTTGCTGCTTTGCTTTAGAAAGGAAAAGAAATAGCTTTGGGCTGAGCTGATTTTTTGCTTTTTTTTCCTCTCACCCTCCTGTCCTTTTCACTTTAGCTACCAGGCTGAGAAATCTATTACCCACCCAGTACTTGGGCCAGCCTAACCCACATCTGACAGTAAAAGAAACCAGATTCTCCACGGCTTTTTAGCCCTTGGCTTCCTACTTGGGCTTTCCCACACGTCTACAGTTCCCGTCAGAGCCCATGGATGAGGTGGATCTTGGGGCAGAACACGACCCTAAGCACAGAGGCTGCACTTTCCCCTCCT